AAAAAAAAAAAAAGAGCAAAACTACGCTTAAGACCTCTTTGTAAATACTTAATCTTTTACTCTAAACAGACCAAGAATTTTACACTAAAGGATTAACAAAAATCTACATGGATTGCCAGTCGATAAACGAACTCAAACTCGTACCTTAGCGAGTCGACCTAAGAGTTAGCAAGTCGAAGTATACAAAAAATTACATTGTTTTTTCAAATTTCAAGAGCCGAATTCATGCCCGACCCGTTTCATTTAACAACTCTTAGCTCAATTTTACGCAGTCAAATAATCTAAAGCGGTAATGTTTTTCCTTTTCTTTTATTTCAAGAAAGTAAATATAAAATTATTGGAAGTGATACAGCTAGAAACTTCATTACATTTATTAACAACTCACAGGCGGCAGATCAGGCGCCGTCTTCCCGGCGCCGCCCTCCGCCGCCGGCTTTGCAAAAGCCCTGCTCCCGAAGAAGAAAAACCCGACAGCGTGGCCGGCAACGGCGGCCACGAACACCCCGGCGTTGAACGACATGACGGCGAGCATCACGAGGTAGACCAGCCCGACCCTGACGGCGTACATCGCCGTCTGGGCGGCGACGGCGGCGGCCGCGGACCTTCGCCTGAGGATCCTGCAGTGGGACAGCCACTCTGCGGCGACGGCGAGGAGAAAGACCACCGCCAGGGCGAGCGCGTACATCCCCGGATGGCCGTAGCCCGGCCACCCATCGAACAGGATCTCCGCGTTCTCGCCCCAGAAGAACGTCATGTGCATCATCATGTGGCGGCGGCGCATCGCCGTGGGAGGTGGCGCCGCCGACGACATGCCGTGCGCATGACCACCGTCGTTCATTTATTTTTCTTGGAAAGATAATTATGATATTTTGGTGTGGGGATTGGAATTTATTGTAAGGAGATGTTTTTTTTTTTAATCTTTATTTATAAGTTTTGGCACTTGTGTAGTAGTACACTCTATTAAAACTTGTGGCATAGTACAATAAATGCGAATTTTGACAAATTTGTAGATCTTCACATCAATATATATTGATCGACGATAAAATAATTGAAAAATGTTACGGAACCATAAATAATGTTAGGGATCTCGATAGGACGAAAATTGATCGACGATAAAATAATTGAAAAATGTTACGGAACCATAAATAATGTTAGGGATCTCGATACCGAAACATTTCGTCGGAGTTTGTAATCTTTAGATCATAATGTAACTGTCTGAGATAGTTGATCTAACTGTAATAAATCTCGATATAATGATTCCATAACGGGACCATATCATTTCCAATACTACAAATTTTCAATAAAATAATTGAAGAATGTCACTATTCTTAGCAAATACAAAAATTCTCAATGAATTTCGGACGTTGGATTTGACTCTATCAATGCTCACATTAAATTTCAAACCCTCAGATCAAGACATATTTATATATTAGACCCCTACATGCACTTTTAATTATCAGACTAGTATGTACCCCGTGCGATGCACGGGACAAAGATATTAAATGAGTTATTTTTACAGTCTTGTCCGTTTAAGTCTAAAAAGTAATAATGTTATTATCTATTTTCTACCTCTTTTAATCAACGTTAAGTCTAAAAAATTATTAAGCCGTCCTCTGACAAATATGTATGGAGTTATGTGTTCGTGTCTCATAAGTCACAAACATTATGAATAACATTACAAATTATTCATTCAAACTTTTATAATTGCAAATATATTAAATAGTTTATATAACAACCATTAAATACCACTTTCAATATATTTATAAATAAAAAGTACATAAAATTTTTGGTATGTTCAAATTTAAATAACTTTTAATGTGCTCAATTTTAAATCATCCAGATATTTGGTCAAACGCATAGGTGTGTTCAAATTAAAATCATTGGCATTTTGATCGGTTGAAATTTAAATCATCTACCATGATACTGTGAGGTGTTGAAATTTAAATCATCTACCATGATACTGTGAGGTGTATTATATATATATACAATTTTTTAACAAATAATATGTGCTTTATAAAAATGATAATAATAATTTCACAAAATTTTAAACGTAAAATTTGGTTTTTAATCACAATAGAAAAATCATGGTAAGTTGTATTAAAAAGGTGTTATGAGATAAAACAATTAACTAAAATAATTAAATAAAATACTTGATGGAAATAGAATGCATTAATTACCTTTGACTTTTTTTACTACTAATTCTAGTAAATAAAATACCTTTTTATATAAGTATAGATTCTATACAATAATTACTGTTAATAGGGTATAATTAAGAGTGATTTTATGAAATTATTGTTAAATTACTATTTATAGACAGTAATTAATGTTTTTAGCGAGAAATAATTTCTAAAAATTAATTAAGTTAATCCTTATTATATATTAATAGATTAGATAGATAACACGTATTTTAATATACTCAATAAAAAAACTGCTCTCTCCAGTAAATACGGATAATATTCAGTAAATTTTGAATGGTTAAATCTAATTCACCCTATTAATGTGGCAAGATTTCAGACCGTCGGGTCGGCATATAATGGATAAGACTCCCCACGCATTAGTAGGGTCGAATTTTCTCGAGATGTGGTGATAACGTATATTTTGAACAAAAATTCTATAGAGCAATCGGATTGTATCGATTAATATATTGACACATGTCTAAATTGTAGTTATTGTATGACACGTGTCAATACACTATTGGTGAATAAGTGTAGATTGCTCCATAAACCGAACCATCCGATAACTCCATAGCAAAACTGATATTTTGAAATTGTACTGCAAAAAATTTTAACAGATTATAAGGTACGTAGTACTATCTATGTTTTGTTGTGGGTGAGATGACAGCTGGGATTTTGTTTCTTCAACATGTGATTTAGAAAATAAAAGATATTACAATCCTCCCTCCTTACAAAATTTCCGTCATCGGAAATTCAAAACATAACTGATTGTAAGATTAGAGAATTGGGGCAAGAGAGTGCGGTCCCACCAGATTAAGCGCACCATAAGAGGGTGAGCCTAGATGCACCTTAGTGGGGTTCCATCCCAAAACCAATTGGTTATGGGAGTAGTAGCCCACTAGGCTTATATACTAGACACATTTTCCCTATAGATTCAATGTGGGACAACTCACAAGTGATACTCCAACACGCCCCCTCACTTGTGAGTCCTTCATAAGCCCAAGCCCAAAGCAGGCCGGGTAGAGATAGAGACCCAAGTTGGCCAGGTAGAGATAGAAACCCAGGCAGGAGTCGACCTGGCTCTGATACCATGTAAGATTAGAGAATTGGGGCAAGAGAGTGCGGTCCCACCAGATTAAGCGCACCATAAGAGGGTGAGCCTAGATGCACCTTAGTGGGGTTCCATCCCAAAACCAATTGGTTATGGGAGGAGTAGCCCACTAGGCTTATATACTAGACACATTTTCTCTATAGATTCAATGTGGGACAACTCACAAGTGATACTCCAACACTGATATACATGAACTGTGTACATAGGATGAAGAAATATGTACATCAGAACTGAAAATTTGGAAAACGAGCGCGAATGTCAGACTCTTCCTCCCAAGTAGCTCCGTGGCGATCCCACTGAATACGTACAAGGGGAATATCTCGCTTCCGGAGCCGACGGACCTGACGGTCTAGTACAGCTACCGGTTGCTCCTCGTACGATAGATCTGGCTGAACTTGAATGTCCGTATGAGGGATGACATGATCGGGGTCGCACACGTACTTACGCAACATAGATGGGTGAAAAACATTATGAATGCCTCCCTCTCTATTTTTTTTTTTTTAACAACCCGTCAAATTTGTGGCTTGTTTTAATTTGTACACCTTGGGCTAAAATTTACCCATGGAAAAGATAATTGACTGGCAATAAGCATTGAATGCGTTTG